GGAAGAACTTCAGAGAAATTTCTTAGGGTGCAGAGCTTGAGTTTCCCCTACCATAAGAAGGTGGCTGCAGGTGGAGGCAGTTTGTGGGTACTTTTGATAACTGTTTTAATCATGTTTGGCCATGGCCTTGCTGAAATGCCCACTAGAGCGCTTAGCCAGATCTTCCCCACTTTGAGCTGCTGCCTGTTGAGGCCCCGCATATTGAGAGATGAGTTGTTGTTGTTTAGAAGGAAAAAGCAGGCTATAAATGCAGTAAATAAAGGCAAAAACACCTTGCTCAGCTTTCAGGCCCTCAGCAGGAAGCAGCTCTGGGAAGCCCCAGCAGGGGAAGTCCTGGCTAAGTCCTCTCAGGGGCTCTTCTGTGAGAGGCTGCAAGAATGAATTGGGGAAAATGGTCCTAGAAGGCACACAGAACCTACATGTGGCAATTCTAGGCAGTTCTGCAGCATATCTGATGCTCCCCTGGGAAGGCAGGTCCTGCCAAACTCTGTTATGTGGGGCTAGCATGAGGTGCAGTTGGTGTGTAGGCCTTCATGGGCATCACCAGATGTCAAGGGGTGATGCTTGGATTTCAATCCCCTATATAGCCATTAAGCATCCCAGGTTTTTTTTTCCATTTAACAACCTGTAATTCTTGTGCAGGAATAGTCTTGATCCTATAACATGCTGTATCATTGAGGAAAAGGTTGGGTGTACTCTAATAATTGAAACTGTATTGTGGTGCCCTGGGAACTGAGCAGCTCTTCCCCTGCCTCATTTTTATTCCAATCTAGTCAACTTTTTCACTCTGTTCAGATTGCAGAGGCACACACCATGCTATTTCGTCTTCATCGTCTTCGTCTTCTTCCTACTACCACTATCATTACTATATTGCAATGTATTTATACCCCACTTTTTTCCGATTGTGAGGAACTCAGTGTGGTTTACATAGTCCTCTTCTACTCCATGTTAGCCTCACAACAACCATGTGAAGTAGGTCAGGCCCACAGTCACCCAGTGAGCTTCATGGCTGAGTGGGGACAAGAACCCAAGCCTCCCACATCCCCAGTCCAACACTAACCCCCATATCACACTGGCTCAGTGTTGTCTCTGTGGACAGCATGCGCTTGCTAGGGGGGCATCAGTATGTGCCCAGTACATCTTGTGAACACATGCCCCGTGTATGATGGGTAGATGCTGCGAACTCTAGGCACTGCTGCTCTTGATGCTCCAGGGTGTGTGTTCTTTCCTTTATTAGATTTTGAGCCAGCCCCACTCGCCACACAGTTCCCTGGGCAGGTTACTTGGCTCCCTGGGCTGTTGTTCTGTGTTAGAGAGTAAACCTTTGTGTGGCCCGCCCTGGGCCCCCTGAATGAGCTTGTTGCCCCAAGTATGGTTGGAAGATGTTATCCCATCACCAGCCCAATCAGCTTCTGTGCAAGGAACTGGTAGGAGCTGCTATCCTTCCTTCACTTCAAGCAGCAGAAGGATGTCTTGGGCCAGCCCTGTGAGGCACTATGTGTCTGTCTGTCTGTGCATGAAATCAGGAACCCCACAGACAGTTTGTGGTCCTCCTCCAGAAAGGCAGTGATTTTTTTTTCTTTTTTCTTTTCGTAGGCTGCAGCTATCTGCAATGCTATGTAATTCAAGGTCTGATCCTATACAGCGATGCGTGTATTAGCCAGCCATTGATGACAATTGGCTTACAAGGGCTTGTTTATTCACATGCTGTTTGCATGTTGGTGCCTTTGCATGTTGGCATGGCTGCTACCAATATGAAGTGAAGAAGGATTGACCAGCCAATTTCACAACTGACCAGAACAGGGAAAGAAGGCCTTCATGCTTCAGGCCGCAGGAATGTGCACTCTGCCTCCAAACTCTGTGCACATCCATATATGGCCAATGATGATGAATCTGCTTTTGGGGTGCCTGATCAGCAGGGCAAGGCTGCCTGCCCGCTTTCAGGTGCTCCTTGAAGGCTTTTTGACCCAGACTTTGCAAAAACATAGCTGGCCCAATCAGTTCCCCGAAAGATTCATTTTAATGAAGTAGATGAAATCTGCTGCATCATAGAGGTTGTTATTTTGGCCTCTGCTTTCACTTAGCTCAGATTGCTATTTAGAGCCTGTCAATTTGGTCAGTGTTGTGAAGCAAGGTTGCCACACTTGATGGAAACAAGGAAGACGCTCACAGAGGCAACAAAAAAGACTAAAGCTTTATTGAAACAGTAGTGCCCAAGTAGCCCAGAAGGGGTGTCACACAGGGATTAATTGTTAAGTGATGGTGGGAGGGGGGAACCAAAGCAATTCAGCTCAGGGCACAGTCCCACCCTAACAAAGAAAGCCCAAAGGAACTTTTAATCCTGTAGTTCTTTGCAGCTGAAGGACTCAGCAGTGTCTGGGCATGGAGCTGGTTTTGGAAGGCAGCGCCTGATTGTCTGTAAGTCCAAGACAGGCCACCTATGACCTCCAGGATACACCTTCTTGACAACCCAGTGCAAGCTTGGTTTGGGCAACTGGGCCAAAGGCCATTTCCTAGATAGTACCATTTACCAGCCTTCCCCATCTTGGTGCCTTCCAGGTGCTCTGGCTGACAGCTCCCAGTATTCCTGGCCTTGGCGATACTGGCTGCAGTTGATGAGGGCTGAACTCCAAAATGTCTGTAGGGCACCGGGCTGGGGAAGGCTGCAATACAGGAAGCCACAGAGAACGATAGGGCAATAGCACCTCGTGTTTCCAAAGTTGTTGTTTTAGTTACTAGTCTATTAAATAATGGCTATGATCCTCCTTTTCTGTTTGTGCGGGGCAGGTGGACCTCCAGAGAGCTCTTTTTCCAGTTGATCCATTTGGTCCTAAATTTAGCAAAGCAACATGAAACAACACCTGCTGAGCAAAATCTGTTTCTCTCTTTCTCTCCTAGTGTGTAGCCTAGTTTTCTAGATTTAAGGATGGCTGGTGTGCGTTAGGAAACTGGGCTGTGTGGAACCACGCACGGGTGGAGAGCTGAATAACAACCCAAGCGCTTGCCTCAAGGCACATCCAGATATGGCACTCGGCACTCATGTGATCTCTTCACTGCTTCTAGGGCCTTATCCAAGGCGATCAAAGGGAACAAACTATCTCCAGCTGCTGAGCCATGACCCCAAGAACAGTATTTCCAGGAATCCCCCTCTTATCATCTAAGGGATTCCTGGGAAAACTGGACCCCGAGGACACAGTGCAGAATTCGCCCAGGGCAAGAATCCCTTTTCATCGGCTCCCTCACGTCACGCTGTAGACGGAGCTTTTTACGTGAAGCTGCTGCAAAAGGCCTCTAGTGGAAGAGTTTCCGCCGTGTGGCCACTTGGTGGTGCTCGTGAGGAGGAGATTTAGTAGCTGTGCGGGAGCCCGGTAGCTGATCTCCTCTGCAGCAAGGAGAAGGATGGGCTTGCCCTCTTTGCTGAAGCATGAATGATCTGAGCAAGGCACTCGCCTCCTTTTAAGGGTGAGGGGGCATTTTTGCATAATCTGCATATTCCCTGTCCGCAGATAGAAACCTGTAGTGTTAGGCACTGGGGCCCACGTGTCCCCTGAAGGATCTTTCTTTGATCCTGCCTTACGATTGGCCTGCAACTTGGCATGTTCTGCTGATGGAATGCATGCTTTGCAAGACTATGGGTGCACAAATCACATGGAGATGCTGCCACATTCTTTCTCGGGCAACAAGACCTTTGTCCTGTTAGGTGTTATTACATGGCTGATGACACGGATCGCTCTTTAATGCAGCCTTCCCCAACTGAGTGCCCTCCAGATGTGTTGGACAACAGTTCCCATCAGCCCATTGCCAGTGGAGGGCCCCCGGTTGGGGAAGTCTGGCCTAAAAAATTCATTCAGGCAGTGATCACGAGGTGTGTCCTTGTTTGTAACATTTATAGCAAGTAGTTGTGTTCTGCATCTTGCTCTTTATTCTTGCTCTCTTGGTGTTCTTTTATGCCCTACTGCCCGGATCCAGTTGTGTTTGCTTTGCCCCAGGATCTGTTATGCAGACATACCTGTCTGGGCTTTCCCACTCCTTGTAGCCCAGTGACGGAGAGATGAGGCTGGTGCCTTCCGTTGCATCGTTCCTCCTTTCCCGAGCTACAGTGCTTCATCTCAGACTCACAACTGACCAGAGATGCAGCACTGCACCTTGGGCTGGGAGACATCGAAGGAGTTCTTGTGTGTGCGTCTGTCCAGTGTGCGGCCTCTTCTTGCAAGAGCTGTAGTTGGGGAGGTAAGGAATTTGCAGAGAAGGAGGAGAAGAACCACAGCATTTGAATAGAACAGTGGTTTTTAAGGTATCTCTCACCAAAATTAATTCTCCGGAGAACTGTGACATCTGCTGTAGGACGCTTGTTCATTATAGAAGATTCTTGGGATATTCTTTGGTGCCGGTAGTAGAACGGGTGGGAGCAAGCCTTGGGGCCAATGTCTGGGGCTCCAGTGGCCACCCAGGGACTAGCAAGGGGTGTTGGCATCAAAAGCAAACTCTCCTTTATCCTTGTAGCTGTGTTGGAGTTACTGTGATTGAAGTAAGTTTAAAATGCACAACTGCACATGCACAGAATTGTATTTTTAAATCTGGGTTGGCTTTGTTCTAATGAAGAGGAATGTAGAAGCAGTTGGTGGTGTGAAAACTTTAGTTGTGAGCATCACACTTGAAGTGATACGCATAAACGTTTAAAGAAGGGCTCCCTCAAACTTAAGTTTCCCAGCTGTACTGCTGCTTACTGCAGCACTGTCCCAAGCCTGCTCATGCTTGCTCTTGGAGGTAAAGCTGGTGCAGTGGAATTTTGAAGAGCTATTGCTATACTGTATGAGGCTGCAGGAATGACTGAAGTCTGGACATGCTACAGAGTGCCTTGGCAGCATGGAGATGGCACAAATAGAGCTGGCTACAGCATTGTAAGTGGGCCACAGCCCTGTCTATTTAGGCATCTCTCAGGTGTTTACAGAGAGAAGTAAACAAAGCTGTGTTTGTAGGAGAATGAGTGTGCGGTAATGATTAGCAGATTAATGTAAATTGGGGAAACCTAGATTCAAGTCCTCATCTTACTGAGTGATTGCAGGACAATTCTCTCAGTCTAATCTACCTCTAAGGGCTGGTGTGAGGATTAAGGTAATGGCCGTGATCACATTCCTGAGCTCCATGAAGGAAAGACAGGATAAACAAGTAATAAATACAATATTTGCATGGTAGCCAATGGTGTGTGAGGGGAGGGGGGTGCAAGCAGGGCAGAGACTGGGGCACTTCTCTTAAATCCAGTACAATATTATTAGCCTGTCTTGGAAGTGTCATCCAGGGCAATGACATAACATTTGGCCAGGATCTGTTGGTGCTCAGAATAAAAGCAGATTTGCGCTGGTTTTGTAGATATGTCAGACATTCTTTCTGAGCTCAGTGGAGATTCTGCCAAAGCGAGAGCAAGGACTGGTGGGCTGTTTTGTGTGCATGGAATTGTTGCCTTCTTTTTCTTGCTCTTGCAAGGATATAGCCTTTTTTGTTGTCAAATTTATATGCATATATATTTTACTGGGGCTAATGGATTATGCTTGCTAGATGCTACCTAGGTATCCATGAGATTGCCTATATAAATAGTTTAGATATAAGTATCATTTGTTCTAAATTAATGGAAGTATTAGTAGATGTGATCAAAAACAACCTTAAAAGCAGGAAATGCATATTAAAAAGGAAGAAGTGGATGGTGGAAGAATTATTAGCACTAACAGAAGAAAATGAAAAAATAGAGATGACATCTAATATAATGAAGTACAAAAGAACATCCAAAATAGAATCAGGAAGCTCAAGAAAAATGGTGGGGCGAACAAAGTAGAGAAATAGGAAGTCTGGAAAAGATCCATGTTTCCTTCAATGTACATAAAAAATTCAAGGAATCAACAAGTATTGACATAAAAAGCAACAGCCACTACTGATAAACAGGAATATCCTTGATGTCAAGGATTAAATTGTAGTATCAAGTGATTTACATTAAAGAATTGCTTGAAGATAATGGGTCAGAAGTTATTGTATTAAAGGATGATACTGGACTGGAAATGCAGAAAACTGAAATTTGAAATGCATTATCAATAATTAAGAGATAGCAAAGCTCCTGCATCAGATGACATGTTCATAAAATATTAGGATTATTAGAAGAGGATTATTTAAATGCTTCAGTGGATCTGTTCAACCAAATCTACAGATCTGAAAATCCTGAAATTTGGTTAGGGTCAACTATGTTACCCAAAAAGGCAAATGCTAAAGTTTGTAGCAATTGCAGAACAATCAGTTTGATGGGCCATTTTCTTACAAAATAATCTACAGTAGAATTTACAGTAAATTTAACATTGCTTTTAATATTGTATTCCAAAAAGCATCTTTAAAGAAGTACTTGCTGATAAAAATGAGGGTATCATCGTTAATGGAGAGGTTATCTATGGCATTTGCGAAGCCAGTGATGACAGCATTATTTGCTTACAATTTAGACCAGTGATTCCTAAAATGGACAGTACTGCCCTCCTGGGGGTGGTAAAAAGATTCAGGGGGGCTATACTTGGTGGTTTTTATTTGCAGCAGAGCAGTGAACAAAGAACGAGGCAAGGGGGTGCTAGGGTTGTTGCCCAAGAGGGAAAGGGGCAGTAGCTCGAAAAAATTTGGAGACCACTGATTTAGATGATCTGCAGAGCTTACTTGATAAAGTTAGTGAAGTAAAGAGCACTGTCTAAAAATGAATGTTAAGAAAAACCAAGTGCATGGTAATGATTAAAAAACAAGTAGTGCAAGAAATGCAGTTAAAAATCTAAAATGTAAATGTGGAGTAAGTTGATGAATAAACATATCTTGGTGTTTGGTTGAATGAACAGTGGGATCATCCTAATGCAATAAAAGTTAGAACAGAGATGGCTTGGAGTAGTTTTTTTAAGATGAAGCGTGTAAGTATAACAAACTTAAAATTGGCCTTGAGACTGTACATTGTGTGGTGTTGCATATTTTCAGTTTTACTGTGGGGCATAGAATCATCGCCTTTAACACAGAGTAACCTTTTAAAAAGGGTGGAGGCATTTGAAATCTGGATTTATTGCAGGATGCTATAAAATTCATGGGCTGAGAGGGTGACCAACAAAGAAGCATTGAAAAGCAAGGTAGTACTGTGTAGCTCAGGGAAAGGTGACATAGACTGCAGTTGCACTGGATGGGGAGGGATTGTTGTGATAGACTCCTGCCCATCAGAACTGCCCACTCTACCACTCGGGGCTGGCCCTACCTATAGGCAGAATGAAGGGATTGCCTCAGGCAGCAGCAGCTGGAGGACAACAGTGGGAACCCCTTGACTGAACTCCGGGGCCATCCTTCACTGGGGGAGGACAGAGGTGTGCATGCGCCCTGAGCTAGCCTGTCAGGTCAGGTGTGGTGGGACCCCATTACTGGTGACAAGTAAGATGGAACTGCAAGTCCAGCTGTTCCTGAATGGAGATAGGTGTGTGTGTGAGAGAGAGAGACAGAGACAGGCAGACATCTTGCCCTTTGCCTCTTCAGGCAGCAAAATGTCTTGGGCTGGCCTCAGTGGCACTGGTGAGGTCTCTCAGAGAAAACGACCATCTAGGCATCGTGTGCTGGGGAAGGAGGTGAGCAACAAAGCAGCCAGACCTTTCCCAGCAAAAGCGGACGCACGGTGTGATCCTGCCTCGGAGGCATGAGGCATGGCAGGCAGAGCATCTGTCATAGCCGCGATCTGGCGCTGCAGTCCAGCAACCTCCGTCATCTGACAGCCAGGAACAAGCTCTGCACAACAACCTGACAAGAAGCAGATGGCAGCTCCAGGACCAAAACTTCATCCGGCTTTTTGGCAGCCGCTCCTTCCCCTCTGCGCTCTGCCCAGTGCTCAGAACCGACAGTGCAGCAACTCCCTCTCCCACCTCCTCCACCAGGCAGAGCCAGTGCGGAGAGAGGTGTCATGGAGGGAGGCCCGTGTGCGGCGGAGAGGAGCGGGAGAGCGAGCGGGGATGCAAGGGCCCTTCTAGAGGAACAAGCTCTCCATTGCCTCATGTTTCCACTCAGCACATCTGTTAAGCCAAATAGGCAAGAACCCATTGGCTTGCAGTCGAGTGGGAGGGATGGCAATGGCAGGCCTGCTTCTCCCAGCACTCACCAGATGCTGAAGAAGGTGCTGCGTTAACAGACTGACAAAGTGCTTTGCACCAGAGGCTCTCCTGAGGCCAGCAGGCTTTCTAGATGGCTTAATTTCACACCAACACATGCACTCTTGTCCATGCAAATGCATCTCCTTGCTCTGACATTACCAGCAACTGCATTTTGAAATGCTCTGCATCCAGTAGAAGCCAAAGCTGTATTTCTGCTAGGGTGCTGAAATTTTCTAAAGCTTCAAATCCATGGCCAGGAGAAAAGTAGGAGATTCTGACTTACCAAGACTTGAGATCATTTGAAAAGCTCACCACAAGTCCAAATCTCTAAGATCTGCATTTCCGAAACCATGCCAAACACAACATTATCTTTCAACTGAGAATAGATTTGGGTTGGGAAATAAGAAACTACAGCCAAGCTTGGGAATGAGCTGCTGTAACAGGCAGAACTAAAGGACAAAACGTCATTGCCCAAATAGTTTCCAAAGGAGATAAATCTCTGCAAACATAAAAAGGAAAAATGAAAAGCAGACTTCCGGAGCCAGCTGTGGACAGTGGCATTTAAATTTTCTTTTTCCACTGCAGCCTTCTTCCTAACCCTGGAGAAGGGAGCCTAAGCCACGCCGAGCAGAAGCCAATGCCAGGAATATTGGGGTCAGTTAAAGACGCAGAAATCTAGGAAGCTGCCTTGTGCCAATTCAGACCACTGGGCCAGTAGTGCTGGCACTGACTGGCAGTAGCTCTCCAAGCTTTCAGGCAGAAGTCTTTTCCAGTTCTCCCCGGAGATCCCATAGGTTGAGCCTGGAACCGTTTTCATGTAGGAGCTGAGCTTTGCCACAGAGCTACAGCCCCTCCAACATGATGTGAAACACACTCAAGTCTATATATTAGAATAAGTTTATGCATGCTTAGCTTTATATTGCTGTGTGGCTGTGGTGCACATGTGAATACCTGGAGTTAACCCCACTGCATGGGGTGGGGGATTTCAACACAAAAATGGGAGGAAGAAACGTTAACCCCCCCTTCCTGAATTGCCATGATTCTGATCTCAGCTGGGGCCACGTGTGTCTACTTGGAGGTAAGTAGGCCAATCATGCACAGCTCTGCTATGTGTGATTAGCAGAACGTTCATACTTTCTCTGCCTGTGCGAGTGAATTCACACATGCATGCACACACAGGGGAGGAGAGCAGTAACGATCTTTCCAGCTCAATTGTCGGGAGTCATCAGCAATCTGAACAATTGAGAAACAGTGTGGTATAGTGGTTAAGCACATGGGACTGGGACTCAGATGACCAGGATTCTAGTATCCTCTCAGCCATGGAGCCAAATGGGTGACTTTGGGCCAGTCACAGAATCAAAGTGCAACCTAAGTGCAACCATACAAGGTTGTTGTTGGGATAAGAGTGAAAGCTGGAGGAGAACGGTGTAAACCAGTTTGAGCTCTTTGTAAGAAAAAAGGTGGGATATAAATCAACAATTCCCAGGAACGCTGGGAGAAGCAATCGCATTGAAACTGGTATAGAACTGATTTTCAGTTGCATCGGGGAACGCATCCTACATATACCTTCTGCTAGCTCCTTTGCCCTCGGCCAAACAAACATGTCCTCTAACCAGACCGCTCAGGTCTTCTTGACTGCGAGGATCTGAGCAGCTTGCTTTGACATAGCTGGGATGCGCTTCTGCGGCCATTCAGCCGACCTCACAGGGGTGTCCTGTGACTGAGGGTGTTTTGGAGCGGTCTTTTGTCGTGCCCATTCCTGGACTGTTACGAGGGGACGGCGTGGTTCAGGCAATGTCTTTCTGTATGGCACTCGCCTCTGTTTCGCATCTACTTCTTCCATCATTTTTCTTACAGCAGGAAACCCTTTCAGGAGAACAAGGTGGGGCTGCTGCAGAGGGCCACCGAATTAGTTATGCGGGGGGCTCTCTGTTTGGAAACGCCCGTGCAGAGAAAGCAGACATTACGTCACATCCCTACCTAGCAGCTGTCTTCCCTGCTCCCCCGTGTTTACATGACAGCAGGTGCAATGCCCTCTATCCAGATTGGGACCCTAGTGTGGGGTGCGAGAGGGCTGTTAAGATTTAAATCGGGGCCCCCACAATTTTTAAACAGTGTGACTGCTAGATACGGTGGATGTAAAGAGATGCCTGTTTTGGCCCTTGGTCATCTGACCCAGGGAAGGAGAAAATGAGCAGATTTCGTTTATGGGCAAGGGAGCAGGTCTGCATAAAGGGGGACATTCCTGTGTGGCAACTGGCTTGGGCCTCAGCTTTCAGCCACATGAAATAGCAGAGGCTCCTTAGAGGCAGCTTGCCATGTAGATGCCAAGGATCGCACCGAGGAGTATAAATTCAGAGATAACCAAGGCAAGCGGTTCAGCCCATTGCCGGATTTCCTGCAGCGCCAGGCTCAGGGTGGACATTTGCCATTCTGCAACAGATTGTCACTCTTGAAAAGAACTATAGGCTGCATCCTATTATTATTCATGCAAAGAGTGAATGAAAGGCAACAAAAGGGGGAACAAACTGCACACTCTCTCCCTCTCTCTACATGTAAAAATCATATACATAAATGTTGATGTTTGTTTGAACGGCGTGGTGATAGCAAAAGACAGCATAGGTAAAGATAATATTTGGACTGTCATAATTACCTTTTGGGTCTCACTGACTGGTACCTATAGAAATGATATTCTGACCATACATTCATATTAAAAGATACGATATTAAAATGACTGCAAGTAGGCTTTGATGGACAGACTCCAGTCACGATCTCACTGTGGACTAGCCAACTGAGCTAGCCTGTTGTCTCCATCTTTGTTCCTGTTCTGTGCAGGATTGGCTGTCCACTGCCTTTCATAAAGCTTCTGACCATCTATATAGATGCTTCCCCCAGTAGCTGATCCTGAAAGAAACACAGAAAAAAAATATAATCAGCAGACGATCAGGCAAAAAAGCTTGCCACCCTGACAGATGTGCCATGTATTTCAAAAGGCATATGCATTCTGGGCACTTCCCACTGGCCATTCCTGATACTGATGATAATTCCCACTTTGCAGCCATGGGAGAAAAGATCTTTGTCAGTGTAAGTGGAATAATGGGATGGGATGAAACAATTTCACAAACATGATAGGTGCTTGACCCTTTCATTTCATGACACCTCTTTTGTCCTGAGTCATCATACAACTTTCCAAAAACACCAAGCGTGAACAATGCAAAATAAATCCTGTTTCTTAGAATTATTTGTGCAATTGCCGCTGAAAGACTCCCACAGCAATCCAAGCTGAATCCCACTCTGTGCAGGGCAAGGAGCTTCCCATGCTTTGCCTGCCGTGAGCTATGTGGTGCTAAAGTCGCTTGGCTCCCCTGTGAGAAAATGAAGGGGAGCAGCCTTCGTACACTGCACCGGACCAACATGCTTGCCCCCAGCAAGGATAAATGGATGCCACTGGAAAGTGCTGGAGTTCAGCAAAGCATAAGCCTCCCCTGCTACTTGCCTCAGTAAGTAGCACAGTGAGAGTGATGGAGCTTGGCAAATGCCCGGCCAGGTACCCCTTGTCCCCAGTATTCCGTATACAGACTTATAATGCCTCTGAATAGGGAGGCTGTTTTAGCTGTCAGGGCTTACAGATGCTTGATAGGCTTGGGTCCTTCAACTGTGGTACAGTTACCGAAAACTCTGTTGTACTGCAGTCAGTAGCCAAAGAACTCACAAGATCTGATTTACTATGCAACGGAGTCAGGTCTGCAAGCATTTTGCTGAGTATGTAGCTGTGCACACAAACTTCATGTGTAGGAGGCTGAAACGGTATATTCACTTGCCTGGAATGGCATCAGTGGGACTTCGAGTGGACATACAAAGGCAACTGTGCATGAATCTCAATCTGAGCATTCAGGCTTCCCTTGCACCCTTCCCACCCCCAGCCACATCTGGGAACTGGGAACCCTCTGGATAGTCTGTTCTGCATAAGGCAGGCCTCCTGTATTGATGGGTTTGAGAAAATATCACCCCATTGTAAATGCTTGGGGTAATTCAAGGTCCAGTAAAGCTGCTGAAAGGGAGTGCGGGGAGAACCACCTGGCTATGCTACAAGGCGGCCACACGGAAATGCAAGATTTGTCGATAACGTAGACTCGAGGGCATTGCAAGTTACAACTTCTGGCAATGCTGAATGTTTACCAGAATGGCTTCTCCTAATGCACAGGGCCAAGGACCTAGGGAAAGGGCTGGCTTTCAAAGAAGATGCTTTAATATGCTTTAATAGCGAAAAGGAATTGATCCATGCAGTAATGGCACTCCTTTGATGCTCCTGCGCAAGGACGGTGTCTCAGCAATAACCCACTTGCTGGGCACAGATCCACTGCTTCTGGTTCAAGTGCACAGAAACAAGCTCCCCCTGCACTTTCTAGAAGTCTCTGTTCTTTGGCTTGCTTGGTTGGATTGTACAACAGTTTCCTGCAGCCTGGAGCACTTCACTTATAAGTGATTCACTTATATCTGCATTAGGCCTTGCATGTCTAATCTGCCCAGTAACTGATGCTTTCTAGGTGAATTACTGACCGTTAACCTAAAATGCCACAGAACTGGTTTAAACATACAATCCAGTCCAAGTATTTTAAAAATAGAATGCAATATGATACAAAAAATAAGCAGCACAGAAATTGACAGAATAGCCTTACCAACCTTGCACTAGGTTTCTGAAATGTTTTGAACACCAGATCCCAGAATTCCTGACCTTCAGCTATGATGGGTTAGGGTGATGGGAGTTAGAGTCAGAACATCTGTGGAGAACCACCCTGTTGGGGAAGGCTGTTCTTACGGGGACAAATCGTCTTAGTATCTGAGTAAATTATGCACAGGATTGGGATATAGGATTTCACCCAGGCACTACTGCTGCACATTCTTGATTCAGTTTTTTTTTGGACCCACTGCGGAAAGCTTCAGAAGCCAGCCATGTGGACTCCACAGCTTTGGCTGGTGCCTGTCAAGCGCAGGAAGCATGCCATGTGTCTGGATTTCATTTTGGAACCAGAGCAATGAATCATCGTTCCCAGTTCTCAGTGCTAGAGCGGTCTAGATGAACCCTACTGCAGAAAAGCCTCCAACCACAGGGGATACCTTCACACATACTGATTTTATGCCCATGCAATTGGCATGACACTCCCCTCAAATGCCTCTGGGAAGTGTAGTTCTGTGATGGTGCTGAGATTTCTATTTATGAGTTCTTTTGTTCCTGGGTTTCCCTGGAGAGAAGGAATTACTATTACCCATTTCAGCTCTGTGGTGTGGTACAGAAGAATTGCAAACAATTATTACACAGAAGACAGTAACTGCTTAGATGCGATGTAAAGGAAAGCAGTCTTTGGGGAATCATTTGCTTTTGGGGTTGGAACTCTCATGAGTGAAGTGGATCTGGCTTCTAGAAGTCTTGCAGGAAGCTGGGACTGGGCCAGAAAGCAGGCAGTGCTCGGCAGGTCCCCACTCCTAGAAAGCAGCATATACCACAGTTGCAGCTCAGCCTGTTTGTGCTGGTCCTACAGAAACTATGCCGAGCCACTGATAATCTCCTGTCCCGTCCTATCCTCAAACCCTGTCATGAATGTGACCCACAAGCCTCTGTGGAGAAACAGATGCTCAAACTTATCTTACTTCCTCCCAGGCTCAAACCAAACTCTTATCAGATGCCCCTTGGGAGGTTGAAGCCATGGCTGGCTAATCCTGAGGCTCTCCTGGAATGGAACATGGCTGAGCCTCCTGCGCTCCTTGGAAGGGATGCGTCCTCTGGGAAATAACTCCAGTCCCTAATGCTGGGTGGGAAAATTGTTTCAGAGCCCTCTGCACAGCCTGTGTGTGCACGACCTTGCAGCTGTCCCAGGGCACTGCAAGAAGGAGGCCGGCTGGAACGGAACAGGCTCTGCCTCGTTTTCCCTTGCGTAAAGGAGCCATTACTCTGAGGATCTTGTAGATCTGCTGGGTTGCTGCAGCAACCTGCCAACCAAAGAAAGGGCAAGCTGCCAGTTGGTTTTCGTCTGAGTAGGATCCAGAGGTAAGGAAGATAAGCCAGATATTTAAGCAGAAGGGAACCTCTCCACCCCTCCTTTCCTCAGGAGCCCACCCAGCCCTGTGAAACTGTATCACCGAGAGTCAGGGAAGCCTGCTGAAGGACGCTGCAGGTCCTTCCTCTCATGGTACACAGATTCTGGACTGAACCCCACGCCAGCACCTGGTGGTGAAATGCATGGACTGAAACACCCTAGTTTAGCTCAGTGCTGGGAGCCAGTGGAAGTGACGTGCCCTGCTCAGTCACAGCATCCACCTGGCCCTGCCTTGCTCAAGGCCACTCAGCCCTTTCAGGGCTGGCACCTTTCCGGGTTGCCAAATAAGGCAGACAAGCTGTTTGTTATGTGCAGCAGAGAACTCGTGATACAAGCAGGGGGAAAAGCTGCTGTCACTGCTGCTCGCAGACATCAGCCTTAAAGAGGGGACATGCACTGCATAGCTACATATCAAGCTAGCATGTTGAGTCACCTTTGCTAAGCTGGAAAGGTGTGTGCCACACGACCACTTGTGGAAGCGAAGCAGCGTTGGACTTGACGGCCTTATAGTTCCCTCCCAACTCCTACTCTACTCTACTCTGTCTCACTTTAAGGAGATGCCAAAGAAAGCACTAGGGAAACTCGTCCCAAATGGTCATTGAGAGGCTTTCACAGAGACAGTGGGAGGAAAGTAGCAATGCCCACAGTCTCCAATGTGGCGTTCCTCCATACTGATGTACTAGAGGGCACCACTCTTTCCTGATTTGCATTTATTCATTAAATGTATTGTGTATTAAGACTATTAGAATTACACAGATTTTAAACTAAAGGACTGCCTTCCAGCACCACCTTTATCTGGGCTCAACAGGGTGGTCCTTGGAGCTCAGATCCCAACTCGGCTTTGTATATTTAGGTTCTTGGGGAGATTCTTTTCCTTTAAGCCTCACCAGTTTGGGAAATGGCCATTTTGAACCTCATTATGCCCACTATGGCAGGCATTTTACGATGGCACCCTCAACATTCTCCCAAGTTCCAAGCATGCCCACCTTCCCTGGATGATACCCATGGCCGGACTGCCACCAATTGCTAGCTCCTCCCTCCCAACAAATGCACTGGGAGGAACAGTGTGAGGGAAAACCAGCTGCCAGCCAGGCCTTGCCATTTGGCCCCTCAGCCCAGCCATGTGAGAGTTCCAACCTCCAGGTTAGGGTCTACTGGGAGCTCTTGCAGAAGCCGAGCTGTAGGAGCTGCCGCTTTCATTTCCAGGCACTCTTGGGCATCTGCTGACCCCGTACACGCATCTTCTTTCCAGGTTGCCTTGCAGACTCAAAGGCAGCTTCATGGATTATTCTGCCTGAGGACTTCATAGTTTGTCATGTTCAGCAGCTTCATATTACTTCTGTTGCACAGATCCTGAGGGGCAGTACTTGGGCACACACAAACGCGTGACCACAAAATCAGACATGCATCCCAGCATGTGTGACAGGTGCATGCATGTACAATTTATCCCATTTCAAATATGCAGAAACCGCCGCCACCACATATTTTTGAAGGCCACATGTGCTGAATTTTAAACTGATGCACATATATTTTCAGACAGTGTCCACATGCATTTTGTACTCGTGTGTTTCATACTCAAGTATAAAATGTACCTTGTGAAGTCATTCTAAGAAAGCAAGGAGCTTGGGAGCAGGGGAAACAGAGGCTTAGAGCACTGTTTATGAGCCCTTTCTTTTACTCCAAGGGTTTGGTTTTCAAATCAAACGCTTATGAGAAAACAAAGCAAGATCCCAATCTAGTCCCACAGTCACAGGCTGATTAACCCCGAGTTCAAGCCCAGGCCCTCCCATTGACTATAAATAGCTCTGC